GGTAATATATACATAAATCTAATTTCAAAAGAAAGTTCGACAGATACAGCCTTAACTGTGCGCTTAAAAATTGAAAGAAACTAAAGTTCGCAATACAATTTTCTTCAGTTTTATACTTTTTATATGGTGGTTTTCATATTTCAATACTTTTTAAATATAAATTTAACAACATTTTGTTGTCATAAATGAAATAAATTAAATAGATACTTACAGTAAAACAGCAACACCAAGATCAAGTTTGCAGACCAATTTCGAGCAACACACTAAAAAACGGAAATGCGATACCGAAACGCGCACTAACGAAATTTTTACTTTAAAAAAATGATTATTTACATTAAATTAAAAATGCAATGTTGTAAACTGCTCTAAGTGACGAAACCACGAGTATTTCTTTGGTACATAAAATACTTAGTTTCGCGCATACGCAATAGCGTCGCTTCGGCTTTGCACCACAAGTAACGCTTGCTTTGAATAACAATCTATTTACGGTTTATTAGACCGACTTTTGAACTACAACATTAAAAACACTTGTATGAACATAATGCACACCCTTAAGTCTTTTTTGTACATTTTTATTCACTATTTTCCGCAATTACTAGTTGTGCGTCTCTAGTTCGGCGTAACTCTTCACGTTCTGGCTTCGTGCTGTAGCCTGTAGTTGTCACCTGATCACAACTCTTGCAAAGCCAACTTAGATCATATAAGAAACGATTAAAGTATGAAACTTAAACGCATTTGTTTTTTGACAAGTTAACTTTTTAGAGCAATCTTTATCTTCGTCCATCTGTCTATATGTCACAATTAATTATCTTAACAACCACCACTTCTACCTATTTGAAATTTGTCAGTTTATAATATACATTCTCGTATCAGGTGAAAACATTAAAAAACTATTTTTAATTTCACTGTTAAAAGGAACGACAACCAAAAAGGGTGTAGAGAAAGTACCACAATGAGTTTTCCATTTTTAATAATTCAAATTTAATTTTACCAATAATGGGATTCAATACAAGAATTTTATTTTCTTCGACGTTCTTGTACTGAATTGTTGTGGGTTATTGGCAAAATTAAATTTTATCATAATAATTGAATTTGTATTACACCGACAAGATTAATTCACTGAAGAATTTTTTATTTCAAACCACATACAACTTCTTGATTTACGATGGGAAAGTTAACAATGTTTGTAATAATTTACGCAAATATTTTTAATTATATGTTAAAAAATGAAGATACCTATGACATAGATTTGAAGGAAAAACATACAAACTGTTAATTTTTGTTCTTGAGGCAGAATAGAATTGCAATGTTTATTAATCATATGTATGCCACAAATTCACTTTATTTAATCATTTTCGTCATAAAAGCTATTTAGTTGGATACCCAAAACAAGGAATTTTAAAAATTAAACTAAAAAATTGTCAAAATGTATTACAAATAAGACGTTTATTAAATAAGGTACATCATTCTTAAAAGTATGTGTACTACAAAAACTGGGACAATACAAAATGCACGTACATACTAAATAAGTTGAGAATCACGAAATGCCCTTTGATACCAGAGACAAAGAATTCTATAAAATTCGTTAACTAAACGCAGGAAAATTTCACTTCTTCTTTTTCTTTTTCTCAGTACCTGAGACATTTGAATTGTCATTTTTTCGTTTTTGAGCTGCCTTTGTCGAACTCTGATTGGGAATTCCCGTAACATTGTTAGATTTTGGATTTTTCTTTTTCCTTTCAGCTTTTTCCTTTTCTTCCAACTCCTGGTTTTCCCTTTCTATCAGTGTAATTAATGTGTTACATCTCCTCTGCAGTTCCATTGCAGTACGAGACTTCAAAAACCAATCGAATCTAAACTGAGGCGATGCTCTTACAGCTGCTCTTAGTTCTTCGTAAACGTTTTCACGATCGAATCCAAGTTTATGTAACATACAAACCAAAAATCTATCTTCCTCCTCCATATAATTTTTACCTTTGTTTGTACCATATGCAATCCTGACAACAGATAGAAAAATATTACTTGGAAACTATTAATTAAATTATTATTTTAATTAAGAAGATACTTTTTTGACACAAGGTAATAAAAAACTATGCTTTTTAATTTATAAATGTGTATTTAATAAATACATTTATCAAGTTAAAGTTGATTCAAAACTCAAATCAGTGAAACAACTTTTTTAAATCTACATTATTTCACTAAAGCAAAATGAGATTTAGATATTAGCACATACCTGAGTTGATGAAAGGGGGCTCGATATCTTGCCATTTTTGCGTCCAAAGCGCGTTTTATACTAGCTCTTCGTTGAATCTTCGCTTCTCCCCTTTCTATTTGTGCCATTATACGATCAATGTCGGTAAGTTCGTGACACCGTTCCCAAAATACGGCAGAATATTCCATCACTTCTTCAGGAGACTTTCCTTCCACTTCTTTCGCGATATTTTCGATATCGTCACGTCCATATTTCTCATTCGCCTTTATAAACTGATTAAAATCACGTTTCGTCCAATTAGTAAATCCCTGGGTAAGAAGACTTTCTTTTTCCTGTTGTTCTTCTTCAGTCAGCGGTTCAGATTCGTCAATCTTCCTTTGTTCCTCCTTCTGGTGTTTGCTGGCTTCTGGGCCAAGTTCTGGGTTTTTTGGCACCTTATAACCCAAAGTTTTTCTGTAATAGTATATTTCTTGGTCCAGAAGTTCGAACAGACGGGGAGGAAAAAATTGGAAGTCCTGAACGATGGGCTGCTTTGGAGGTCTGGGTGCTTTAGGAGCTTTAGGTTCTGATACTCGCAATGCCTCACGGAAATAAGCGTCAACGGCATAATTAGCTTTTCTTTCTCGTTTTGGGGGCTCGATCCAATTACCAATGCCAAGAGTTTTCTGTTTTTCACGGTAATCTTCACCTTCGAACTGATAGACGGATTCGGTGGGCGTGTCCACTGTGAAATTGCGTAAAGACGACTCACCAAGCTTCTCGTATTTTTTATTTAACTCTTCCGTCTGAAATGTTAAAACATTTAAATATTTATATTTTTTTATGGTGGTATAAGTTTTCTAACNCTACTAATACTACCTATTAATTTAGTTTGAGTACCTATTAATATCATTATATGTATTTATTTTATCATTAACTCGTCATTACGATAAAGTCTCGAGTATCTAATATTAATTTAATAAAAATCGATAACATGAGAAAGCGTTAGGACCAAATGCCGACGTGACGTACAACAGCGGCATCTTTGATGCGAAAGAAAGCCGGTAGCCGAGGGTATAAGACTGGTACAACTATGTAGGAAGTTTCCGGAAATAATCGGAAATATTCCTTAAGTAAGTGACCAATATTCGACAACTGAATCGATACAAGTGTTGATAGTGCGTGAATAAGAGGGCTAATCATTGAAATAGATCTACAGTGATATCAATAACAGATTGCCTAATAAATTACGCGTTTTTGTGTTAACTTACTATATACATTAGAATTGTTTAAATAAATAGACATGCTAGAAAATTGTTTACACAAGTATTAATTGCATTTACTAACATTAAGCCCGTCATATTTACGTTATTCTGACCTAAACCTTGAAATCTGTAATTTACAATACGTGTATCAACTGGCTTCAACTTACTGCGACGGAATAAACAAACAGTTAATGTATTTAATTTAGCCATAAATGAAATAAAATAAATGAGTTTCTAAAAACCAAAATCATCTTCAACTTATTAAAAAAAAGGTACTCTTCAATTCCACTGTATTGGTTTTTTGAATTGCTTTTAATGATTTTTTTATTGAGTAGGCTAGATCTTAAGAGTAATCCCATTTAAATTTGAAGATATTCCGATAGACCGTTATTTAAAATATATTGTTTTTTCCAGGGTAGAACTATTTTTGTCGTTTTCCTAGGCATATTTTCAATTTAAGTTAGATTTTTGAAATTGATTGAATAAACATAAACGTAACAAAAACCATAAAGTTGTTTAATTATTTGACCGCCACCCTGGAAAAAAACAATATATTTCACTTCTAATAAAAGTAGGGGATGATTCCAATTTTCTTATATCTACTATAGCGAAATTTTGCGCTTCCAAAAGGACTCAAAATTATGTATAAAACAAAACATTAAAGACAACTATAAAAATTTCGTCCATTATCATATTTTCTGATTGATTGACGTCGTAAAGTGTTAATCCTAAAACAGTTATCTCTGATGAAGAAATATGCCACTATTTAATACGATTACACTACCTATTTTTAAAACTGATTAATTTTGTTCATAAAATAACGATAAGATAAATATTTGTAACAATCGAATTGTGTGGAAACATATACTCTTACCAAATTTTACTGGCCCGCGTTTTATTAGAGAAATACAAAGAAATAAATAATGCAATATAATAATACGAGTACATTAACTTTATTGGCAGAAAAAGAAGTTACAATGTTATCTTTATATAGCGGTTAATAATGATTACAGTAATTCTTTAAAATACAGATATGAAGGAAACATATAATAGTAGTAGTTAGTAGTGATGATAAATCTATATCCAATCTCTATCGGCCAAAAAATTGATGGTTTCTGCAAGTCTTCTTTTGTATTCTTGGCCCTCAGAATGGTGGGCCAACTTGTCTAAATCGAAATTTCCGCCGTTTTTAGGAACACCTCGTTCAGCGTACACAATTTTCAAAATAAAAGACAGACGCAGAACCTCCGATGTTCGAATAACTCTTCCAATTTCACTGTACAAGCTTTGCAATGTGTAAGCAGAAACATCGCATTCATAACGTTGCAACATTTGTATGAAAGCCTTATGGTACAGCTCAATGAGTTCGTCAAAATGAACATCCAACACGGGCTTTTGGACACTGCTAAATAGCAAGAAGATGAGATCTTTGGCTAAGGAATCGTATGTAGCAATTTTGAAATCGACAAATTTACTTTTGATCGGTTTCGACCCAGTGAATTTAATCAATACGTTTTCCAGCCACAAATTGTTGTGGATTAATGTGGCATACTGTTCGTTCACAGGAGGAGGCTTTTTAAAATGTGATTGGGCAGCTTCCAGAGCCTGTGTAATCCTTGGAGCTAGCAAAGCACATCTTGGAAGACCTTCTACCGCAGATTTAACAATTTGTTGTCGAAGTGAATCTTCTTCATTTGCGGTGAATTTCCTTAAGGTAGAGCTCTCGCTGGGGGTTAGAAGGGGTAACAAAGCTTGCTTAAATTTTTGCGGTTTGTGAAGCCTATAGGCCAGTGGAATGGCATGAAATGCTGCTAAATCATGTAAAACAGTTTGAATCGTTTGCAAATCAAACCCAACAGTACGATCTACAGCCTTAAATCCAGACGCACCTAAATTTTCCAATAAAATAACACCATTCTCATCGGGTGCATTTGCTCTAGGGTCTAAACTTAGTCTGGAACCATAATATAGCGGTAGCATGTCGAATTTATTTGATATTCCGTATTCTTCATGAAATTCGTGAATGGCATTGACAAATTTATCATAAATTCCAATTTCCTTTTTAAAAGAAACTTCCACATCATAAAGTGCTCTAGGGTTTCTCGAAACTGGAAATCCTTTAACAACAATATTTAGCGTCTTCTCTTTATGACTGTCAACATCTTTCACTTTCGCGACTAACGAGTAAACGGGATTTTTGAATTCATTACCAGTATGCAATGGTTTCATCTGATAATTGACCAGTTGATTGTATGGCCCTAAAACGGGGGCCAATAGTACGTCCACTTGTTTAACGTTTTGCGACATTTTTTTCGTTCACCTCGCGATTGGACAGTAACGTTGCCACTGTTAATATTTGACTTTAAAACTAATGTCGTTCAATCATCGTTAATTTTTATTATAACAAACGATATTTGTTAACTGATAACGAATTTCTGATTTACTGAAATTATAGGGCGACACGTAATCGAAAATGTCCTATTTGTTATCAAAATTCCAACAGATGAAAATCGTTTAATTTTACAGTAGTGATGTAATAAGTAGCTCGATCGGAGAGAACAACTAAAAAGTATGTAGGCACTTAAAGATAGACTTTTTACAATAATACACAATGACGAAGAAAACATTTTTAATAATATAGAAGTAGAAATTAAACGAAAATATCTTTCCGATAACAAGGAATTATTTTATTGACACTTTCTCATAAAGCTTAATCCTCTGGGTATAAAAAAATAATTGCACAATGAAAATTGCAATTGAAAAAGGGCCCAGGTAAATTCCAGGTTTCACTGTTGTAGTACACCTATGTAAAAAATCTAAACTATGTACTTAACCCTCGGATGCATTTAATTCTTTGAGAACAAAATACAAGAAAGAATACAGAACTTGGGTAGCATCTTTTCTTTAAAAGACACATGTAAGTACCTTTCATATGATACCATTAATATGCTTATTTGGTTGGTTTATAAACTAGCTTGATAGTATATGTGCAAATTGTCCAAATATGTAGAATGTCCAGGCCTTTAATTTGGTACACATGGTACTTACGTGTTCCTGCGATTGCGCAAACATTCCTTCTGTATTGCTATTGAATACACAATAGTTACGCATAAAGCTAACTTTTAGCAATAATCATTCTATTGTTCTATAAATGGAGCAACTACTTTTGATGTAACTTGGTAAATAAAATATACAAATATTTTTGATTCAATCTTATCTAACATGTAATGATGAAGATGTAGGTTAGACTAATATAGGATTTAAGGACTATAGTCAATAACTATTTGAACTCTTCAAAATGTGGACGCTGGGTACAGTTATCATGGCTCGTTATTTCTCCCTAACACATAGCACTTTACATATGCCAATTTAGGAAACCCTTCCCACTATAATCTAACTTTTACCTACACCCTTGGCCCATGGTAGGTACTTTTTACATATCCTAATTAGGAAATCTTTTGTCACTACATCATATGCTAACCTTTGGTGCATACTACATTACACATGAAAATCAGGGAGTTTTATTTTACCTTGACCTAACCATTAGGTTCTAATGTAAGCTCAATACACCAAAATATTGGTGATTTTTAATTAAAAATTTCGAGTAAGCGTCAAGGTCCTAAATATCGAAAGTAAACCTAAAGCACAATTGTGTGTATTAGTTAGGCGTTTTAATAGTCAGCTAATTCAAGAATGTCGGATGTTCAGAGGAGATAGCTGCACAATTTATCATTACAAGCCTACCTACGCTTGTACCACATATACGTAGAGAATTATTGGTATATCAGAAAACACGTCACAAGCTTACTACATAATAAAAGAGAGGATGATTTTCAATTTGTAACTCTATCTAATCTTTTTCAGCACTTTACTTCTAGAGTGGTAGAGACGCATGCGCCATATTTGAAGTAAAACTTTTACTTGAAAAGCATTTTTCTAACAATCTAATTTCATAAATACACAAATGATATTATAATTTATTTAATGGGCTACAAAATAATCTACAATATTATGTAAAAATATACATAAAATGGATGGATCTTTTAGCATTTGTACCCGAAAAAATCGCGACGAGGATACCTATTTTACTGATTCATTTTTGACCCCTATTCGACTTTTTTGATTTGTATTCGGAAATGATATTTTGGAAACAGCTGCATGCCCCCCTTGCAACAGTCTCGCCCCACAGGTTGGAAACCACTGTCGTACAGAGATGTGAATGCGCGGTTTTTTCTACAGTGCACAAGTACTGATGAAACTAATCGCTTTTTTTAGACCTGTCGGAAAATATAGACACCTGTGAGTTTTTGGAAAGATTCGAATTCTAACACTCAACTTTCATGAAACATGGAGTTCTGAAAATAGCTTTTAATTTAAGCTCTTTCTTGCAATAAGTCATTGCGATAACAACAATTATACACTTCGCATAATACAAGGCGATTAATGAATAAATAAAGGTAAATACAAAATGATTCAAGCATATTGTACACATATGCCTGATTGAATAAAGTAGCTACTGACAGTTAAACAAATTATAGTGTGTTCAATATAAAAAATTGTAGTCCAATATTACGAAGAAGGGAGTAATGCGATTAAGTCACCGGATTCTGTTGGGAGTAAGAATCTCTGAAGATGTCGTTCACGTGAACCAACGAAACGTTAAGGTTAAAAAGCTTTGATCAACTACAACCAGAAAGCCTTCAAGTTTACAATTGCATCAACAATGACCGCTAACGTTTGAAACAATTATTTCAATTGAAATGATACTTATCTAAAAGGACTCGATTAAGTATGCGATTACATCCGCTCAACAACTAAAAACTATACGTTCATAATTAATTGTTTTTCTGACGATAAAAATATAAATGTTGTAACCGTTTGATAACAAAGTTATGTAAATATTTTCAGTAAAATATATTTAATTAAAACTGACAAAAGAATAGCGTATGATAAGTTTTTGGACAAGGAAACGCGTAAACTATATGTATGTCGCGATTGTAAAGAAGAAAGTAATTAGTAAATATGCAAGTGGATATTACACAATTTCAATGTTCAAGGCCCCCTCTTACTCTCTATAATTTTTAAATTGACGATCACAGCCGAAACGAAATAAAGTAGATACGTTTGGCACAGTTACAAGTTGGTGACGTTCTGCGTTGCATAGTGATTATTATCTCATAGCATTAATACCGTTGGCAAACATCGTAAATTCTGAGTAAATACAAGAGCTTTATAAAATGATGAATAAAGTTCATAAAATCAACGATCTTGGGGGTCCACTGAAGGAATACTTAGGTCCTCGTCGAGAATTGATTGATTACGAAACTAAGTATCTTACAAGTGTTGGAGAGAATTACGGAAGCTTGATGTTAGCGGTGATTTTAAAAATAAAAAACAAAGAAACAAATGCAGAAGAACACGTAAATGTAATTGCCAAAATGTGCCCCCTCAGTGACATTTTAAAGAAAGCGTTTAACGTGAATGTTACGGTGAAAAAAGAAATTGTTATTTATACGAAGTTTTTTGAAATACTGAAGCAATTCTTGAAGGATCATGAAGTTGATGATCGATTTGATTTTTTCGCTAAATATTTTGGATCGCGAATAAATTCACATCCAAATGCAGACATCGTAGATGACGATGCTGTAATCATTTTGGAAAATCTTAAATACTCAGGATACGAAACGGTGGATCGTATGAAAGGTTTTGACTATGAAACGTCAATTTTAATACTGAAAACATTAGCTCTTTTTCACGGTGCTGTTTTGGCATACAAACTACTGAACCCTGAAAAATTTAAAACAATTTTTATGCCACATCTTGATGCTGCGCAGAACATGGAGGAAATATTCCCCGAAGAAATAAACCGCAAAATGATATCTCATATAATTAATTCAGTATCCAAAGAGAACGAAACCGTTAAAGATCTACTTCCTAAATTAAAAGAAATTTTGGAAACGCAATCCAAAGAATCAAACCATCCTCTTCCCCCAAACGAACCGTATGGTGTAGTAAGTCACAATGATCTGTGGGTGAACAACATCATGGTAAAATTTGATGAAGGCAAGCCAAGCAGTGTTAAGCTTGTCGATTTTCAAATTTACTCATACGCATCATTAGCTAGAGACCTAATTTTTTTCCTTATGACAAGCATGGAATTAAACATTATGAAATCGCATTACGACGAATTTATCAACACGTACCAGCAAACTTTGGTAAATCTCCTTAGAAAATTTGGTTGCGATGTTTCCAAATTTTCCCTGCAAAATTTGTACGAAGAAATTGCATACGTTATGAACCATTCCGAACTCTTCCACGTCTTACTAATGTTTAAACCGATATTTGCGGAGAGGGGGATGATTAAAGATATGGCTGAGTTCGACATGGATAGTTTTACGGAATATGAGGGAACCGACCTTTATAGAAACAGAATTACAGAAACAATTGTTTTTGCTAAAAGTAAAGGATGGTTGTAACTGCAACAAAAATTAGTCACGCATTGAACAAAACATTCTGACACATCTATTTACAGTATTATTTTTAAGATGAACAATAACTGTTAAATAATACACAATACAATGTCACATTAGGAAGTGTAGAAACGTTTTAATAAACCATATTTTATTTATTCATACGTCAAGAAATTTTATTTACTATCAGTAGATATATTTTCAATCCGCTCTCCTACTCGTTCATTCATTCACACATTTAATTAAAAAATGTTTTTGCGTTAATGTTGCAATAACTAAGTCGTCATCATGATCATCATCATCGTAGGATTGTCAGTCCTAAGACTGGTTAGATACGCACATCCACCTTTGCCTATCCTGAGGTAATCTTTACATTTCTGTATAACTAGAACATCCATCATCCCTAACTATTTGTGAATAGTAATCTAGTCTAGGTCAAGATAACTATGTATATAGTAAATATCTTACATAAAATGAAACGTCACTATGACGTTGCAACATTTAGTTGTAATTATTTATATTAATAAGCATGTTGAAAATTATAGAAATAAAAACACACATTTGGTGAATTTCAGAATTCATTCTGCATTCGAAAAACAACACTCTTACATAGCACCTACCTAACGGTCAACTTAGACTTTCATGCGAAAGCAATTATACGATATGTAGAATGTTTCACTTCAAATAACGAACTTGTTGTCAGTTCTTTTCAGAAACCAACAAATTCAATGTCTTCCCATATTTTCTTTTTTATTATTATAAAAATGATAATAGATTATAAGCTTGGTCGTGAATTAACAAACAAATTAAGTACCTATCATTAATTAAATACCTAAAGGAACAATTATTTATAGTTATATCACTGAAAAGTTTTGGCGCCTTTGATTTTGAAAATAAAAGTTAACAAAACATGTTCCCTTTGTGCTTTCCTGCATAATGGGTTGCATCTGTTTATTTGATTATTGTTTGATTTACGTATGTACTTTTTGATTAAATATGAAGATTGGAAAAACTTTGGCGGTTGTTGTAGAACAAACAGAATAGCTCAAAACCCCAACGCCAAAGCACGACACTGTAGTTGTCCGAAGCACTTTTCGGTAACAAAGTTACCTTCTTCAGGGACTGAAGTAAACTGATTAATTGTATATAATAATAAAAGTACTTCACCCAGACATTTATCTTCATAATTTTAAAAAAATGAATCAATGAGTTATTTTTATTTTCTATTCCTAATGAACTGCATATTTTATTTATGAATGCTAAATTTGAGCTTAACTTTTGCTTTTAAAAAGTAGACACTATTATTTCATTACAAAGTTCTTAATTTAATTGTAAAATAGTTTTTCTATTACGGTAGTATGAAAGGTAAATATTTTGCATATA